TCATAAATCAGGTAAACGGCTTTAATGAAGGCTCATTCTCTGGTGAGTAGTTTTATTTTGCTGTTGAATACCTCATTTCTACCTGAAGGTTTTGCTAATGATGCTGTTCAGAAACACAATGAAAACTCCATATCTTGTCCTGGTCTCTCATAGCCTTTCTAACTAATAAAGATATAGCCAGCACAATTTGTCGGAGCAGATGGTGACTAGACATGTGTAACACACGTATCAGCAACCTCAATCTGTGAAGATTTCAGCCCCCCTCAACCGACATGGCGTTTTTAGAGAAAACTGTTATGGTTTGGATGCTGCACAGTCTTAAACACTTAATCGCTCTAAATAACCAGGAAAGTGAAACTATGGGAAGTTGTATTGCCGAATACCGAATGAACATACATGGGGTCACAAGTGATTGCAGATAACTAGATCGACGATGCCAGGGACTAGTTGGTGGAAAAACCACACACTTATTGTATCTCTTATACACCAGCATCTGAGGTACTATGGGACCTTGGGTTTCCATGTGATTTTTATAGGTTAGTATATCAAAGTTCCAGAGCAGGTTAGTGGAGTTTCAAACTATCAAGATTTTAAAATTCCTCATCCACGTCTATGGAATAAATGATTGTACCGATTCGTGAGATAAGTAGTAATGTGACTTTCACAGCCCCAGCGGCCTAGTCATTAATATCTGTTTTTATTCACGCATATTCAACTTGAGTAAATACTCTTTCGCTCTTCAAATTTCAGATGTTATTCGGGATCGCGGGATTGAAAATCTAACAATAGACGATTTGGTAGCTGAAATTACCCCAGTCGGTCGACGTATGGTGCCAGACACAGTAAAGCAAGAGCTACTGGATGAAATCCGAAGTTTTTTGAGTAAAGAAACAGATATTCTTTGACTATTAAGCAGATCATATTTCGCAATCTTCGAGTTTCATTCCTAGTATTAAATCTACAGTTGTATTGTTATTCTGGATTTCTATTTTTTTCACTAACCTATTATCTTTATAAGTCTATCAGTTTGTACTTTTCAGAGTAATATTAGGATTAATACTATTTCAAAGAAAAGTTAACTGGGTTATTGCATATATTCTTATTCTGTAGAGTAGTGATTCAGCGATCACAACAGCTGACTTCTTCTCTGGTTTAGGCAACCAGCTCTCAAAGGAAAGTGCGCAAATTATAGTATCTAAGTACGCTATTTACCAAAGCATATTACAGATCTAGGAGGGAAGAAACTAGCGTTGTTCTTCTACCTCGGCTCATCATAGTGTTTTGCAATCATTGTTATTCAGTGGTTCGGTGAACTCTACTGGTGTCAAGTATCGAAGTTGTTGATCCAGTTTATCCTGATGCGACTTACTTTTCGTTGTTGAGGCGGTCGCTGATGTACTGATACTTAAGTGTCTGCTGCCATAAGTGATGTGTCAATAGACCTATACTTACGCACGACAAGCATGAGGAGCAGAAGAATGTCAACAACCATACAGGAATCATGTCATCCTAATGTGTGTTATTAAAGGGATTTATAAGAATACACACAGGAGTTCCAATAGAGCAACATCAGTACACCTAGGAGTAGAGTGGTTCCTGCTAAACTAAGCAGATCATTGAGTTTCAAAGTGCTGCTATAATGAAGTTCAATATCTGTGATCACACAAGAACCCTGAGGGGTTAACCAAACTGGTAGGTTTAAGATCGTTGAAGTCAACTTGTACTGGGAAGGTTCGGGAACACGCCCCCGTTTTTTGGTGTTGTCTTGTAAATATTGTAGTTCATAAACTTGAGATTGCTGCGTCTGGTAAATTTCCTATAAGCTTGCATCTGACAACTGAGATGAAACGTCGAGGTCTTATTCGAGATGACTGTGCTTCGTATACAGCTGAGCAAGTTGCACCTCATGGCTAAAAAAAACTGACAGACGAATACCAAAAGTTCACGGATGTTTTCTGTCCTCATAACCTATGTTCCTCTGCTGTAAGGTAATGGACAGTGAACTGCTACATAGTTTCTTTATGAGCATCGAGATCTCCGTCGACTCCCAGAAATTAATTGAGAATATGATAATTAATGTCTGACCACAAACAACTTGCGGAGATTACTTACACCTGTTACTCCTAGTGAAGGAGCATAGGCCGCCCATCAGCACTCTTCATCTAACCCTATCCCGGAAAATCCTTTCCAGTTGCTACTCATCTTTTTTATAGTCTGCTTTCAATTCTCGGTGCAGTGTGTTCTTCGACCTTCATCTTTTCCGTTTCCCTTCAGCATTCCATATAAGCGCTTGCCTCGTGATACAGTCCGTTCGTTTCCGAAACGTATGTCCCATTCACTTTCAACACCTTTTACTAATTTTCTCTTTATTTGGAAGCTGGTTTGCTCTCTCCAACAGTAGGCTGTGGCTGATGGTGTCCGGACAACAAATATTCAGTATCTTGATGATGGTTGTAATATTTCTCCACGTTTCAGCTCCGTACAATAGGACTGTCTTGACATTTGTATTGAAGATTAAGACTTTGATACCGTTTGGCGGTTGTTTTGAGTTCCATGCGTTCTTCAGTTTTAGGGATGCGGCTTTGCCAATCCTCGAATTTATATCTTCATCAAATCCTCTTTGTTCATCGATTATGCTTCCTATGTATGTGAAAGATTCCACAACCTCCAGAGTTTCGCCATCAAGTGTGATTGAGTTGGTATTGTCCGTGTTGTATTTGTAGATCTTGCTTTTGTATGTTGAGGCCTACTGATGCAAAAGCTGCTGCTACAATATGTCTTCATCTGAATTTGTTCGCGGGCGTGGGATAGGAGGACTAGGTCATCTGCGAAGTTCAAATCGTCTAATTGATTCTGAGCTGTCCATTGTATTCCGTACTTCCCGTCAGATGTGGAGGTCTTCATAATCCAGTCAACCAACAGAATAAAGAGGAAGAGGGAGAGTGGACAGCCTTGTCTGACTCCGGTCTTTACTTGGAGTGCATCTACCAGCTGTCATCCACGCACGAGTTTGCACTGTAGTCCTTCATATGAGTTCCAGATTATGTTGACAATCTTCTCAGAAACTCTATAGTTTTCTCCTGTCCACACTATCAAACACCTCACAGTCAATGAATTTGATGTATATTGACAAGTTCCACCCAACTGACTGTCCGACGATGGTCCGTAGTGTCGTGATTTGGTCTGTGCACGACCGGTCCTTACGGAATCCAGCCTGTTGACCACGGAATTGGGCGTCTACTGCGTGTTTCATCAGGTCCAGCAACATTGTCGAAAACTTCTTGTACTGACAGTAGTGTGATGCCTCTTTAGTTCTCTTATTTGCTAAAGTCTCCTTTCTTTGATATGTTGATAGGGTGTCCTTCTTTCTGGTCCATCGGCACTTGTTCTTCCTCCCCAATCTTCTCGAACAGAACATGGAATATGTGCCTTCTCACTTTTGATTTGTCTGGTGGCCGTCTTAATTTCTTCCGTCATTGGTGGAGTGAAATCTATAGGAAGTTTTGTATGTGCTGCTTCGATGTCCGTTGGATTCAATGGAGCTGACCTATCTTGAAGTCCCTCAAAGTTCTCTACTCATCTTTTCCTCTATTCTTGGATCTCAGTGATTGGCTTGTCTTCTTTACTCTTTATTGGTTTCTCTGGTTTACTATATCTCCCTGCTAGTTTCTTCGTTGTATCATCTTGCTAAAAAAACGTCAACCGGATTAAACAAATTGCGAGAACTTCGCAAGTATAACATAAACACCCAGCGATGTCGGAGTTAGGTGTAGGTTACTAGGTAGTGATGGCAAACAGACTGATGGGGTTGCAAATATTCATTGAATAAAAATATTATACGAGCATGAAGTCATTGACAGTTAGAGTGAATTAAATCAAGAGGTGAAAACCTCGTCGGTATCCGCAATAAAATTGTGAGCTTTTGGTAGTGTGATTGGAGACCAGCCGAAAACATTTTATCAAATGCCACGAATCTTGACTTTCAATAATTCATATTGCAAGAAAAAATCCTTGGTTGTTATATATGCAGGATTACAATGGTATTTCTCAAGGTTTTAATTTATTGGGATTCGACTGCTACTAAGAACTGGCTAACATAGATTTTATTTAGTGTAGGCAAACTGATGTGAGTCCACAGTTCAGTGCCACTCATAAATTACTTTGGACCTGACCGTTTCTGGTGCGTCGCCACGATGTTTGGGCTCGCATATAATGTTGACTGATACACTTGGTGTTCTATGTTCAGTGGGTCGATTGGAGATCAAGACCAAAAGCATCAAACTTGAGGTCCGAGGGTGAAGTCATTTTGCTGATCGCAACGAGGTGTGGCAGCAGTAGTGTTCCTCACGGATGAATAACAACCGCAGTATTTATTTGAACACATAAATATTGGTACAAGAGAGCAACAGATGTATATGCGCCACGACAACCCCAGTACTACTGCCTCACAAAGGAACTAGGAAGGGTTAACCCTGAAAGGAACATGCCTTATTTCCCCCCGACAGATTACCAGTGCTCATAACAAGATCTGTCAACCATGGAGCTAATATATCGTGCGTCTTTGAACTTAAGCCGCTAATCCCTGGACTTTGTGGTTATACTCAGGTTTACAAGAACTTCACCACTGATCCATTTTCTTTTTTAAACCCATCAAAACGATGTGGGTAAAGTGGCGAGTGCTAAACACCTGCATACCTGAAAGCAATTGAATTATTCTCATTCACAATGAAACACTTCCCTCGCTTCTAACTACTTAATACACTTTATTTGTTTTTATTAAATGACGAATATTCCCGTTAGCTTGAACATGCTTGTGTAAATAACTTAAAAGTTCTGTGATCCCGAAGAATTTCATGTTAAGGTAGATCTATTGCAAACTACATCTTGATAACTAATAGCTGAAACGATTATATTAGTGTAAAAATCTATAAAACTGACTTAACCTAATGAAACCACTTATTTGGAATAAGGAGTTTCCTATTTTTTAATACTATAATGAATAAAGTTATCAAATCATGTATTTTTAAAAAATCATTCTAATTGTTATTTCACTCAAGCAAAATGAAAGTAATTGAAACGTATTAAACGAGGAATGGAGAGTCAAGGCAACCATAACCTGCTACTATTCCACCTTCATTAGATTCCAGTGGTTTTGATCGAAGAAGGTGACCAGAAAACTCATTCAGGAAGATTTCATCTTTACACCTGTTTACAAGAAAAACCAATGGGATAGTATTTAAATTACAATTCGTAAGAGAAATCAATGAACAGTGCAATTACAGGCTCTCTACTTGAACACAACTAGTATTCGATCATAGGTGTCTTCGAAGCATTGCTCGTATATCTTGAGACTACCGAGTAAGTAATGCAGTTGTTCGGAAACGGGTACTAGGTAAGGATGGCAAATCAATTGATAACGTAGTGAAACTTCATCAGTTGAGATGGCTGGAACATATGTTACCTATGCCCAACCACCGACTGCCCCGACGTGCGATGGTTTATGGTGTATGAGTAGGTTGGAAGGAAGCTAGGGGCGGCCAGACCAAAACACGATACAAATCCATGAAGTCACTGACAAGTGCAATGAGCCATGTTGGTAAGTGTAGACTAACTGGTTGAGATCCGCGAGACGATAGCAACTGAGACATTGAATGACATGTCTCAAAATCATTTGCAATGGCGCAGGCGCATCCACTTTGTGTTCTCTCGAAATCTAATCTTCGGAGTTTTTTCATGTCTCTTTTTTCTCCTTCCAAATTTATTTCACTGGATAACACCCCTTGAATAACATCTTCAAACCATAATCTTTCTAATTACTGCTTATACTTTTTCTACCTCTACCACTATGGAATTTGGATCGACATTTGTATCTCTGTGCTAGTGTGGTAATGCAACCTGAACTGATGTACTTACGAATTTCTACGTTTTTGCTGACTGAATGTAATTTCGTCCGACTAAGTAAAGTAAACCACATTAGCAGTTACAAAAAGACCTCAAAATAAATATGTTCTGATATTAATTAAAGTGGATTGACATATCTACTTTCTAACATATAGGTTCAAATCATTTAAATTGTATTTTCACAAAGAATTCCCCTTATTATTTAGTAGAGATTCTGTTTTTTACTTACACTTTATTGCGAAAAATGTGACAGATATAAGCAGCATAGGAAATGGCAAAAATGTGCATTGACTCATGTTGCTATATTATATCAGCACAGAGAGATTCGCGCTGGTGAGTGGCTTATGCTCCTCCACCATGGGTGACAGGGAAAATGAATCCCCGAAATAAAAGATAATAACACAAATTTTAAAGTCTGGATCTAGTAGAGGGAAAGCGTGTATGCATGTTTACAAATGAGCTTGATTTTAGCATTATTATTTAACCTCATGCTAAATCCAAACCAGTAGTGTATACCTACCAACATACGTCTGGGCAGTGGCCCATGATTCATGGACTGATGTCATGTCATGGTTTGGCTGCCACATAAATCATAACTTCGAAAATCAAAAATAAGTTGCGGGGTAATGCAATCATTCCTTATTTTAATCCATCAACATTCCTTCAATCTAAAAGAATATAACTCATTTGAATCTCTATAATAGTATCATAAATGACAGTATTATAGTTTTACCAATTTTTAAAATGAAGTAAACGTGAATTAACGACCACTAAGTAAATTATTCATTGATAGAGTATTTTGCATTGGTTTTCAAAGTCAAAATGACAAACTAGAAATAAAAGAAAGTACACTACTAGTTGTTAAACTTACGCAAGAATTGCACCAAAAATACCCAATTCAGTAACCATTTTCTTGACATTTAATTCTCCAGAAGCTGAAGTTGAATTCAATATAGAATTTTCAAAAATATATGGTTGTATACGCTCCATAAGTACATACAGTTTTTTTTCAGAATGATTCATAATTGACTTTAATTTCTGAACAAGTTCCTCTATGTATAATTAGTAAAGAGGATAACTGATTAAGAATTAGATCAATCTAAATCATAGTCAATAAGTTATTCTTCAAATGACATATCTATTAATCATTGATGATTAGAACTATTTTTGTAACAAACAATCCATTCCTATGATTTTACAACTCTCCTTACTAAACCATAAGTAAATAAATAAATCTAGCTTTTAGCAAGATTCACATATTTATCGTAAGTATTTAGCTATTGTGTACATCTAAATTTGAAAACGGTACTGCTAATTTAATTGTTTTCGATGGGGTGCCGATAAAGACTTACAAGAGTGATTGTAAGAAACAATGACACATAGTTTGATCCTAGTGTTCTTAAAGCACGTTATTTATCATTAACTACAAATTGAAACTGGACATATTTTTGTTTATATATTCTTTAAAGAATGGCTCATATAGTAAAACTACCAAGTGAGTATTGCTGGTTATGGACATGATACTAGATAAATATGTTAGGTTAGATTGATAACACTGTAAACCATTGTCGACCGGAATGATTGGGACAAGTGTTATTCTATGTCCTGTCATGGACTGTTAAATGAAATACGTGCATGTTGGAAAAAATCCAAGAGTGAGTATATCGGAACGCGCTAGCGGTTCATGAAGTCGTTAACCACTGGTTAGGAAGGTGTAGATTTTGGTGTAGAAACTTTTGGATATATCCACTTCAAAACACTTTCAATCTATTACGAAATAGCCTTTCTATCTTCACGTTCATCATTTATAACATCCTTGAAGGTCCTAAAAGGTCAAGATTTTCAACCACCTCATCCTTTCATTATTTTTATGCTAGGATCGTGTGCATGGATGACGTTTCCTGATTCACTTCATCACTAACTATTCGAACAGAGTCAGTCGTCAAAAAGTTCAAGATACTTTACACTTAGAATATCTAGAATAAAAGTAAATGTTGACGGTTATCATGGACCTTGCGTCACTACAATCTACTAAAATGCGTTATCCAATCTAAATGAATCGTTTCCTTCAGAGTGTTTTCACAAAGCATCAAAAATCTAAGTATCTCAGTCTTTATACTTATTGGACAACCCATAATATATTCGCTCAAAAACACTTATATTCGAAACATCGTATCTGGACATGGATGCTTCCTAGAAAAACCCACTCACATAACCGAAAGATCCAGCATAACTCAACACATCTTATAGACCGAGCCCGTAAGCGTCATATTTATTGCATAAAGGTTAATAACGTGAAAAGTGATTATTCACCTTAAAAGATCGACTAACAAATCTAATGGGATTGAATAAAATTAAAATGGTAGTTATCGCGAAAGATTTAACAAGAAAACCAATACCTCCAAAATAATTATTCCCTCCACCTTCTCTCTGTGGTTTCAAAACATAATTATCTGGTCTTAATAGACAATCGTTAATTACAAATTGAATCTCAGTGGAATCCGATATTCCCATTTCTTCATCTAATGTATATTGATGGGCGAATGTAGATAAAATATTTAAATAACTTGAACTATCCGGATTAAAAAATCTAGATAAATATTTCGGTTTTGATAGGGCGGCTTGTACTATTTTTGTATTTGCAAGCATATATTGTATGCATGGGCATTTGATAGCTAACGACCGTTCAAGTTGATATTTCACATCCCATGTCTACGCAGGAAGTGAATAAAACACACAAAAAACGGAAATGTATAAAGACCAAATAGCTAAAAGTATCATTAACTAGACTTGTGAGAAAAATTAACATAGATATTTTATTGGACTATTGAGCAACTAATCTGGAAAGAAGTGTTATATATTGCCTAGAAGACTTATACGAATCAGTGGAGAAAATAAACCACAAGGGGAATGGATGTGCAGATCAAGTTGTATGTTGCAGTAAGTAGGGATATAAAATACCATGCTAAAATCTCGACAAACCTATTAGAGAAACACATCTATAATGCACACTGGAAACCTGTCAGCAGTAGCGTGATGGGATCTGGGTTTTAAGTCTTGCTACATTCTTTGACTTGACTAGTTTAATTGTGAAATTTTCATGGATTTACAGAACATAATTAGTACAGACTTCAGGTAGAAGTGAACTATTCGAACTTCTCCCCATATAACCTACTGATAGCATGTTTGGTCGAACTTGATTTATTAATTATTGTTGACCTTTATTCTGTCATTATCTGCATATTTCTTTTGACAGGATTAAACACGATTAAACCGTCCAGGTCAGAGAATGAAACTAATAAAATAACCCACCTAAAATAAAAATCTTGTCTCCACCATCGCAAGTTTCTTCTCCTTATATAAATTCTGTTTGTTTGATTAGTTAGATGTTTAAATTTCTAACGCGGACTGTTGTATTAATCGAGTCATTGATAAGGCTGTTCATTATGGAGAGTAAAATCTGAGGAAATTCGATAAGCACAAAATTACAGCTCTGTAATAATGTAGATATAACAAATTCAGTATTGTGAATTATTATATTACGACATAATTTCTTATCTGTAAATGTAATCATGGAAGATTTAGTACTTACACATTATCTATTAACTGGAATTTAAGATACGGATGTAAATCTACAGCTTAATGAAAAAAGAGATCTGAACATGCTGGAAAAATTAGATGGGAATAAACAATATGTGGAACCGTGTGTTGGCATGTTGAAAGTAAAAAAACACTAAATGTTAACGAGATGAGTTAAGTACATCAGGGATTAATTAATTTTTTTTTAAACATTTGATATGTTAAGTTAAGTTAAGCACCTTTTAATTAATATCAACGAAATGTATGAATGGATTTTGATAAGAATATGAACTATACGTTATTATGAAGTATAAAACGGATCCATTTTAATAATTCATATATAAAGGTTGCCACTGAATTGTTAGTAAGATTACAATTTATTTCAATATAGAAATAGACGACGAATGTTGCAGTCTTCTGTTTAATTGTTAAACGAAACATTATGAAAAATTTATTTTCATGATCTCAATCATTAACTGCAAGATAATTCTTATTACTGTGCACGTCAGTAATTGACGAAAGAAATTAGTTTAGTTTTGCGATTGAACACTGTTAGGTCCCGATAAGCATAATGAATGGTAACTTTTGGGATCCATTTATGGACCAATAATAAACATATATTTTATCGTATAATTGTTAAATAACTAAACTATGCATATTCATATTCTTCTTATTATAAGCTTTATTTTGACTCACAAAGTATTATTATACGTTTTACCATTCTTGAATTATATCCTGTCTATTAATCACTAACTCCCTCATTCACAGTCACTTTTGGCCAAATCTTGTACAAATGTTATTTCCTATTTTATGGTACGTTGTGGTCTGTTTGATTGGTATATAAACTCAGTATGTCTGTAATAAATGATTCATATCGCAGATGCTCGGATTGGTGTTCTGGACTTAACTGGCTGTGCTAGACAGTATGCAGGACTAATAAGGACTCCAGACTGCTCACACGGGTTTACGCCTCATTGATCCGATCGATAAGTCACTGCTCTCTAATCGGCGGTCACAAGTTATAAGAAACACAAAAATATATTCCAGGGAATACATGTGACAAAGAATGTCAACATGCGATCCATTAAATATTAATCAAGGATTTTTATAACGGACTGAATTTGGATACTTTTGGATAATATGTAACCATTTATTATCAAATTATTCGGTCTGCAGTATGAGATTTTTTTTAGATAATACGCTATCTATTCTTTTTAAAAGTGTGGATGTGGTGAACTACAACTCGTTGACCAAAAGAGGTTTGTTCTCTAAGTAGCATTATTTTTCATGTTATAATCAACTTGATATTAGGAAAGCTCAGTGAAATGCTGGCCCTTAGTTAGCACCAAAATAACATACTTAGCTAATACCCTTTGAATGGATGTTTAATAAACCCACTTTATGCGAAGTAATTATTTGTTGCGTAACTTTCTTAGTTGAATTCGATGCCTTGACGATAAATTAAATGATTTATTCATATCGCAAATTATATTTTTAACATTAAACGTACAGCCACATGTAAATACAAAAACATGTGACATGAATGCTTCCCCAATGTGCATGTTTCAAACTTATAAGGACAAATACTAATAGCAGAATTTTTGATCATTCTAATTTTTCATGATCACATTTATTTATCCGTCAAGTGCAAAAAAAATATTTATCAAATATATTACGACGCCATGCAAAACGATCATAAACAATTGTTAAACTCAGTAAAATACTGATATAAACGTTTAATAGCTTTCTTGACCATAAATAAAAACAGATAATTGATGGAATTAGAGAAAACTGTATTATCAAATAATTCATATCTACTGATAAACAAATTTCAACTGTTTCCTGTTACTTTTGGATAAAGTTGAAAATATTTAGATTATTACGAATACTGTCCAACTTAGTAACTTAGTCTTACAGTTTCCTGTGCTTAAAAGTATCAGTGATATTGGTATTTAAATGTTTGTATTCTTATCAGGAACTGTTGATTTTTTATGGTAAACATTATTTATTTAATCCAGATTATTTGTAAAACACGTAAACTTAAGCAAAAACATTTTTTCCCTGGAAATCAATCAAACTAATAGTTAGAACATTTTGTATTATAGACAGATACATGTCATAACAAGAAAAAAATCAGATTACAATATACTATTTGCCTAACCACTCGGTGATTTTGGTACCCCGGTGTCCCACAACCGTGAAATTTTGACAGACTACCGTGATGCAACACATGAAATACGTACCCAGAACTTAAGACTTCAATGTACGTCTTACTTGATACTCTGGTAAGAATCCTTTCTACAATAATGCTATAATATCAGTTACCTGACAACTAATAACAAAAAACAACAAAATATATGCAAAAAATTGGCTTTTTTTAACTGCACGATGACTGCATAATATTTGCATTATTTGCAACCAACAGTTCATTTCAGTAACGCAGCATCAACATGATGGGTAAAATTTTTATGTTGCATATTTCAGGTTTAATCCCATTAATCATGTTTTTACATACCAACATTTGTTGTCTTATTTCAGTAACAAATGTTTCGTTATAACGTGTCAATCAAACTGGGTTATCGAGTCTAATGTAGTGAATATCATAACATTTTTGTCAATTTGATCTTATCCTTAAAATTGGCATGACTCGTGTAACTTATTATTATTCGAGAATAAACTATTATTATCATTATTATTAGACGGAAGCGTTATTGAACAATTCGACCTTAATGAACACTATCTATTTTTTTTAAAAATTTGTATCAGCCGATAGTTTTAAATAATAAAAATAATATTAGCTTGGAAAAAACGACTGTATGATGTAGAGGTAGTGGTAACTTTAAAAACATTCCATTTGTATTATTAGTCGTTCTATATTTAAAACTAGTATTATAAGAACTTTTTTGGATGCCACATTTAATAATACCTTGTTTTTCTACATAGCAGACATCGATGAGCTTTTGAAGTGAAGATGATTCGGCCCTCTTTAGGGGCCCTTTGACAAAATGATTTATTAGTCTACAGTTTGTTTTTGTTACATAAACATAACATCACTGCAGACAAATGTTCTGCACTTCATGCTAAATTGTTACTTACATAGGTTTTTTACTGAACGAGTCACATCTGTAGTCTATAACAGGTTCAGATGATTTGGTAAATAGTTTATATGGAACTCAGTTGTCAATAACTATTAAACCTAAGAATAATTTCAAATGAACATATAGTGGAATGCAATAGAACTGATTTGCAACTATATGCAAAAATATTTGACAAAATAAAGATGGTTAAAAGTTATTTAAAGCGTAAGCGATCATAGAACATGAAATATAAACGTCGATCAGAAACCAATACACCTGAAACCTGAACATCATGTCTAATTTCTGCTCATTATATCACCGCGAAGAATTTTACTGAATAACAACTTTAAATCAGTATTGAAAGATTAATAAAGAAATTGTATGTGATAAACAAGTGGTTAAAAAAAAAGATAAAATCAAAAGTGAAGAATAATTTATTGGAAAATATCACATAACTTAACACAAACATTATCAGAAGGATAAACGTCACTCACTTCGTCATCAGGGAAAGCATCTGGAGTATAGCCAGTTCTAAAATATACAACAGCTACCTCTTGATTGTCTCTAAAAATAGTACAATGCGAAGTACAACAGACTTTGTTTAGCGGCAAAAAATTATATTATTATAATAAGCAGCAGCTTATGAGACCCAATTATTGATATACTGAAATAGGCAACGCCACATTCCGACTTAACATCACGGACTGACCATAATTAGACAGTCAATGAAAAATAGGAAGCACTAAACAGTTATTTCATCCTAGCATGTGACTCGTCAGCAGTACATACCTAAGACTCCACTGGAAAATGAACCTGAGTACTTCAGATCTCGAAGCGAGTGCTTAACCCTTAGACCACTGAGCCGAGACCTAGTAGTATATATTTGACAATATTCATGGGTATAGCTTCCTGACGCAACTATCAAGTAGTCCCTAGTTTTGAATGGTTCACTGATGAAAATCAACCCTTGATGTTATTAACATAATATCGTGATTGTCTATGCATTTACCCCCTCTTAGCAGTATATATAAACAAGAAACACAATAAGAATTATAATAAAAAGGTAGCAGGACCATAGATTATAGGATTTTCCGACTAAATGTCAGACACGATATAATTATGCCCACATAAACCAATCGTATTGGTGAATTTACATAGGGTAGAAAAACGTGCCTTATATTTCTCATGGGCTACTATGATCAATTAGATGTCTAACATCAGAGATCGTACTACCAGAAAGTACAGTGGAGGAAACTTAGACACCTAAGAACATATATTCAAATGAATACCTTAAATACGCCCTTTAAACATGTTTTACACCAATTATGTTTGAAATTCTTCAAGTTCTCTTGACAGTATGGGGATATGTGCAGAATGAAGTATTTTCACTGTTGAATTCACAAGTCAATCTAAGCTAGATCATCATTGAAAACCTGGAAACACTGGACGACCGTTTCTTTCAGTTATGAGACTCCTCAGCATTGTGAACCTACCATCCCTCAGGCGAGATTCGAAACCACAACCTTCGGTCTCGCGCGTGAATGAAATGGCCATCCACTGCTCCCAGGTTTTGAATTGAGTAGCGAGAAAACCAAAAGTAGGTCCCACCAACAACTGAGGTCACACTTAGGTAGTTCTAAAAACGAGGCTGACTCAGATGTTGCTTGGAAAGATATACAAGCAGCTGTGGAAACAGCAGTGACATCTATCAGTGATTTAAACCACAGGATTACAAAAAACCAATGGATTTCTTCAAGGTCTATTGCACTGATGGATCCTCGTAAACCCATTCCATCAGGTTCTGAACACGATGAAGAACGACAACAAATCAGATCTAGGTTAACCAAAAGTCTAAGGAACGACCGTGAGCAGTGGTGGGCAACGAAAGCAAAAGAGATGTAAAAGGCGGAGGCTGTAGGGAACACGAGACAGCTCTACAGACTAATAAAACAAACTGGAATTAATAAGTCAAGTGTAAGTCAGACTATTTCGGAAAAAGACGACACTCTCATTTGCTCCCAGTTCACACGTTTAGAACGATGGGCGGAACATTTCAGAGAACAGTTCAGCTGGCCTTCAGCGACTCTACAAATACCCTCCATTCCCAGACAGTGTGAATGGAACATTGAAGTAGGTCCCCCAACTCTAGCTGAAGTTTAAAATGCTATAGTTAATCTGAAACGAGGAAGGGCATCTGGTCCAGATGGATTGGCTACAGAGGTCTTTAAGGATGGTGGTCCAATTTTAGCGATTAGGTTGTCTAATATTTTAGCTAAAATCTGGGAGTTGGACGTTATCCCATCTGACTGGTCACAATCACCCATCGTCCCAATATATAAGTGAGGGTTGAAATCACCCTGTGACAGCCAAAGAGGGATTAGTTTAACTAATATAGCATCTAAAATATTAGCTTCGATGATTATCCGACGCCTAACTAAGACTCGTGAGCTGCACACACGAGAGAATCAAGCTGGCTTCAGACCTGGTCGTGGCTGCATCGACCACATATTCACCATTCGTCAGGTTATAGAACATAGGCATACTCATCGGCGTCCGACAATGGTGGTCTTTCTTGACTTAAAAGCAGCATTTGACTCGGTAGACCGAGAGGTTCTGTGGCAGTGTGTCATTGAAAGGCGTACCTCAGAAGTACATGAACCTTGTAAAGGCTCTCTACTCGAACACTACTAGTCGCATCAGAGCTAATGGCAAACTGTCATCTACTTTTGCAACCTCAAGTGGTGTCTGTCAAGGCTGTCCACTTTCTTCATTTTTGTTTAACTTCATCACAGACCTACTGATGGAAATAACATTTCATAAACATAGTTCCCTTTATCATTTTTAAAAGAGTAAGAACAAAGATTCTAACAGAATAGCATGAATTCATCTTATTTCGTAGGTTCTCGTCAGCTGCTTACAACTCGCGATATTCAAAAAATCATAATTACATAATAGGTTTAAATTGCTTGCATTGCTTACATTCTCGTCGACTAAATTCTCGGGCATTGGTCTCATTCCAGGAGGTTCACTTATCGACTTAGAATACGCAGATGACATAGCTCGTGAAGAGCAAACTAGAGAAAACCAGGCCGGTTTTCGACCTGGACGTGGTTGTATAGATCAGATATTCACACTACGTCAGGTTCTAGAACACAGACACACATTCAGACGCCCCACAATGGTAGTATTTCTCGATCTTAAGGCGGCATTCGACTCTGTTGACCGTGAGGTTCTATGGCAGTGTTTGTCACTGAAAGGAGTACCAAAGAAGTACATTAACCTTATAAAGGCTCTCTACTCGAACACAACTGGTAGAGTGAGAGCTTATGGTGAACTGTCATCAGAATTGATTACCTCAAGTGGTGTTCGTCAGGGCTGTCCACTCTCCCCATTCTTGTTCAACTTTGTGGTCGACGTACTTTTAGAGATAACACTCTCCTCATCTAAATTTCCAGGGGTTGAACTTCTACCGGGAAGTTCACTTGTTGACTTAGAATATGCAGATGACATAGTTTTATTTGGTGAAGACGCTGACAAAATGCAGAGTCTTCTGACCACTATAAGTAACAATGCAAGCATGTTCGGGATGCGATTCTCTCCCTCGAAATGCAAAATGTTGCTTCAGGATTGGGTTACATCGACACCCGAACTAGTGATAGGGAGTGAAGTAGTTGAGTGTGTCGACCGCTTCACTTATCTTGGAAGTCTCATCAGCCCTTGTGGTCTGGTGTGTGACGAAATCTCAGCACGGATACAGAAGGCTCGACTAGCTTTTGCCAACTTGCGTCATTTATGGCGTAGGCGAGATATCCATCGATCAACCAAAGGACGTGTTTACTGCGCAACAGTTCGTTCCGTCCTACTTTATGGCTGTGAAACATGGCCGGTAAGAGTAGAGGATATTCGTAGGTTACTAGTATTTGATCATAGGTGTCTTCGAAGTATTGCTCGTATATCCTGGGACCACCGAGTAAGTAACGCAGCTGTTAGGAAACGGGTACTAGGTAAGGATGGCAAATCAATTGATGAAGTAGTGAAACTTCATCAGTTGAGATGGCTGGGACACGTGTTACATATGCCCAACCACAGACTACCTCGACGTGCTATATTCAGTGGTATAGGAGTAGGTTGGAAGAAAGCTAGGGGCGGCCAGACCAAAACATGGCACAAATCCATGAAGTCACTGACAAGTGGACTGAGTCATGTTGGTAGGTGTAGACTACCTGGTTGGGGACCGCGAGATGATAGCAACCGATGGTTAGAGACCCTGAATGACATGGCTCAAAATCGTTTGCAATGGCGCAGGTGCATCCACTCTCTATGTTCTCCCAAATTCTAGTTATCTGAATTCTTCATGCCCCTTTTTTTCCTCTTTCCAAATTTATTTCACTGGATTATACTCGTTAAATAACATCTCCAAACCCTAATCTTCCCGATTACTGCTTATACTCTTGCTACCTCTACCACTACGGGATTTGAATCGACCACTGCATCTCTGTGCTAATATGGTATGGCAACTCGAACTGATGTACGTACGTACTAAGTTCTACGTTGTTACTGACTGACTGACTGATAGTTTTGTTTGGTGAAGACGCTGATAAAATGCAGTCTTCTGGTAGCACTAAGCAACAATGCCAGAATGTTTGGAATGCGCTTCTCTCCCTCTAAATGCAAGTTGTTGCTTCAGGACTAAGTCTCCGTCAACACCTGAATTAAGGATAGGGAGTGAAGTAGTCGAACGCGTCGACAACTTCACTTATCTTGGAAGTCTAACCAGCCCTAATGGGTTGGTATCGGACGAAATTTCAGCACGGACTCGAAAAGCTCGTTTGGCTTTTTCCAACTTATGTCACCTATGGCGAAGGCAAGATATCCGTCTATCAATAAAAGGACGAGTATACTGCGCGGCAGTCCGTTCTGTTTTAATTTACGGCAGCGAAACATGACCACTAAGAGTAGAAGATACTCGTAAGCTACCAATATTCGACCACAGATGCCTTAGCAATATTGCTCACATCCGCTGGGATCACTGGGTAAGTAATGGTGAGGTTAGACGCAGAGTATTAGGGAATGATGGTAAATCAGTTGATGAGGTTGTGAATCTTCATCGACTGAGATGGTTGGGCCACGTGTTGCGTATGCCTGAACACCGATTACCACGAAGTGCAATGTTAACCGGTGTGGGGGATGGCTGGAAGGAAGTTAGGGGCAGCCAAAACAAAACGTGGCATCAGTGCTTGAAGACACTAATTTCTAGTCTGAGCCATGTTGGTAGATGCAGACTACACGGTTGGGGTCCGCGTGACTATCGTAACTAATGGTCGGAGACTCTGGGTGACATGGCTCAGAATCGAGAGATTAAAATTATTTTATATTTTACTTTCTACGAACTAATTCTTTCTTCATGCACTATTTCCTTATACGCAATCTTTTATATATATCACAACCATTGACTTAACCACTCCTATGAATCCAGTGTTCATCTTGCTGTGCTAATGTAGTATGGCAACTTGAACCGATGCATATATGTGCCTGGTCCTACGTTGTAGCTGGCTGACTATAAGCGAGACGTTTCGCGAATCCGCAAGCGGATTTACTCGCCATTTTCGTGGCGTCATAAAGCTGCAACCAATACTCATCTATACTTTTCGGTGGGATGGTAGCTAGCCTAGAAGCTAGCTCGGTTCGATACTTACTATCAACAGAAGTTGCGACCAACTTGTTGACATCAGTCCGTTAATGGTGGTCACTTCGTTGGTCACTGAAAAGTAATATTGGCGCAGACCAGGGCATGATCCGAGTCCAGATAGGTACTCCAAAAGGAGCGGCAGTCTTTTACACAACCACGCCAGCGGTAGCTGATCGCCATGTGATCAATCTGAGTTCAGGCTTGAGGTGCAGAGGGAGGACACCAGGTGGCACATCGGCGATGACTGTGCCGAGAGTTAGTGCTAACCAGAAACAGGTTGTGGTCTGTGCACGGTTGCAATAGACGGTTCCCGTTATCTGTCCTGCGACCAACAAGTCCCCATCGGCCACCTAAACGACTCTCTTCTGTGCCTAGACGCCCAACCTGAGCATTCAAGTCTCCAGCTAGTACTACAATATCTGTCGAACGCACTTTCTGGAGAAGAACAGATAACTGGTGGTAAAATTCATCCTTGATTGCATCCGGGCTGCAATCTGTCGGGGCATAGGCAAAGATGACGAAAAGACATCGTTTCTCATGCCTATTTCTTCACACTTTGATGGAACTTTCTAATCTAATAGCACATAACCGAGTGTTAATGAAATTCAATCGACTAGTGCTGCCTCAGCTCTAGCGCTTAGTGCGACACCAGCACCAGCAAGACCAGACGAAGATGCCTTACGGTCCCCGGATAAACGCACGTAAAACAAGCTTTTTTGAAGCGACTGCGAATTTGTAGTATTTCACCAGAGTCTTTAATACGGGTCACGGATAGGCAACAAACGTCAATATTAAGACTTTCCAAAGACATAGCCAGCCCTATCTATTGTTCGACCTGGATAAGTGTGCGAACGTTGAAGGCAGCCAGTTTGAATGGTGCACGAGGTTTCAGAAAAACTGTTTCAGTATTCGTATCTGGTGGTGCATTCAATTTTCAACCAGTCAGTGACTCGAGAACGCTTAGATAGAAGTGAGTTTCCACCATAGGCGAGCTGCCGTATAAGTCAAAAAATAAGGATGCATAAAGTGGGAATAAATAAAGTGAATAAATGACGTAGTAAATAATAATAATAATAATAATAATAATAATAATAATAATAATAATAATAATAATATGAAACGTTTGACTGTTAATCGAAGCAAGTATAGTATTTTCCTTAAGGATCGTCACTTCATTCTGTTTGTGTGTGGGCTGTGAGACTGCCCGGGTGCCCAGACCGAAGCAGGTTGTTTTCTTAGGGAGCCACACCCCGAGCCTTTGACCTAAAGGTCTGACCCATAAGGCAGTGAAGCATCGTGAGGAGATGCAGTTCCATGGTAGCCGGTGACCAAAAATTGGTTCATTTGTTCCCGCAGGATACTGGAGCCCATGTGCACCATTGGTTTGAAATCCGGTTAAAGCGCCGGACATTCGCTTTTTGTCCTCTCATTTTCGTAAACAACACACCTGGTGAAAGAAGGCAGTGAGTAGGATTTCCTTGGCAGAGGCTGTATACGCGTGACCACGAGAGAGCATTTCGAGAGGGGGGGAGGGTCCACGCCATTCTCGGCCATACCAGGGCATTTGGGAGCCCTAAATTTTACTGCTAGCCACCATCTTTGCTTATAATACTCGTGACTTAAAGCGATATCGATGAAAATTGATCAGGATGCAAATATGACAATTAGAGACTGATCAGTTGCAGTCCTAAACATCAGTAAATTCAAACAACCAACACCCAAGTGAACTAAAACATACATTGTTTATAGTGAGTGATAGGAAAATTTAATGTATCAAAGCATCGAAATGCTAATCACTTAGTCATTTAACTCTTTAATTTTAGCGATTTAAAATAATATACTTACTACAGTGTTGTTAGATCTTATTTAACCTCAAAAATGACTGAAACTGCACACTCGTTATTGACAACTAATTGACTTAATAAAAAAACATAGCCCAAAAGATTAAATGAGTTGAGCAGGTAGGTAATAATTTTACAACAACTTACACAAATAAACGGGAATTCACATCCAATTTTAGACCAGTTTTTAGATAATCAAATGAATGATATAACACATTCACTTTAGGATTTTTCAGTAGAAGACAACCAATCAATGCTCGTTGATCATAAATATTTTTTTCATTCTTACCAACAACTACAAGAATAGATATGTTTGACGTGATTAAATTTCTTCTAGAGCAATCTTCGACATACATACGACAAGCAGATAATAAAGCTTCGGAAAATTTATCAGCAGAAAAGCAATCAGGTACCTAAATGTAAAATTGATGACATGAATGAAATTTTCAATACATTAAATTCATATCAATTGCATGATAATCCCATAGCCCGAAACTATATAAATACATTTTAAGTCCTAAGGCACTTAAATATATACAAAAAGAAATAACTATTTGATAAAGTGTGTATTCCGGATTGTTTAAGTCAATGTATAGATCAGTTCAATGAAATTATTGTTCACTATTAGAAGCCATTAAAAAATTATAATCTCAAGTAAATGATATCCGTCAGATAATATACATGTAAACAATGATTTCGGGTTTCATATAATTTTAACTTTGGATACCACTTGTTGCTATTACGTAATGTAGTTTTCTGGAAATAAACTATAATCCTAATTTTTAAATTGCCCAAATAAGTCAATTAGATAAATTGCTGAAAAATTCCCATTATATTAAGAACACAATTGTATGAACGAAGAATATTCTTTTCAATAATTTCTCATCAGGTTCTACAATTATAAATCCAGATTAATAATCCATAAAATTGGCCAAATTTAAGGCAAAATACATCATTTGGAAATTGCAATATGTGAATCAGGAATTGTTTGTTATATAAAATAAAATTGTTAATGTTGGGGCTGACTAATATGAAGTGTTAACTTGAATCAGTTTATAAGCGAAATGAAATTGTGAGATAAATTATCAGAATTAATATGGTCAACATGGGGTAAGAGAGAGAGAATATTGTGATTACAAATCGGAAATTACATATTACATATTACGTAATTTCCGATTTGTAATCACAATATTCTCTCTCTCTTACCCCATGTTGACCATATTAATTCTGATAATTTATCTCACAATTTCATTTCGCTTATAAACTGATTCAAGTTAACACTTCATATTAGTCAGCCCCAACATTAACAATTTTATTTTATATAACAAACAATTCCTGATTCACATATTGCAATTTCCAAATGATGTATTTTGCCTTAAATTTGGCCAATTTTATGGATTATTAATCTGGATTTATAATTGTAGAACCTGATGAGAAATTATTGAAAAGAATATTCTTCGTTCATACAATTAGATAAATTATTACATAGAATGATTTTTTGCATGTGAAACAAATATTAGGATTTGCTGAACTAGACGAAAATCTAACCGTAAAAAATAAAGTGATACCAGATGAACTCAAGAGTTTATTGAACAAGTCTGACTTTTGAAAGCACCCCCAACATAAAGACACAGACCAGTCTGTCAAAAGGCAGTAGAATTGCAAAAACATGAACAGCTTTTGGAAAAAAGTATATGATTCACGAAAAAATCTAGAATAAACATGCATTTTATTACGCAAGGAATTATACTCTCAAGAATGACTGAGATCATATATAATAACAATGAGGTGAATAAAATTATTCTCAACTTACACGATTATTTAAATCGCTTGAAATTCCATGCAAAGATAAGGAAATACGATGTTGTGGAACAATACGCTGAGCAAGACCACAAAAACTACATGCAATCATATTGAATTCAACTTGTCGAATCAACAAACCATCCCAAGCTTCATCTTGAGTCTCAATATCAGATTGAGCGGCTACTACTGTACTTTGTAACCGGTTCGCAAGAGAAGTCCGTTTAGTATCGCATAAATCTCCTTGTACATGAAGCATATAATCAGATCGGTTTAATCCTAACACTATATCCTGAGAAAAGGTATAAAAGACAAAGCTCGAGGGTAACTTTGTTGGGTTTACAAACGAGGTAAAGACTAGGTACAAACGCCTCTGTTGACAAAATTTGGAATGTAATTTTCAGACCTAGTAAGTCATGTTTAAATCGAAGTTTTACTGCCATAAAACACACATTTGGCAGTAATAATATAGCTAATGAATAGATATGAAGAAAAGTCAGCTTTCAACTCATGTGAGTCTTTTTGCCCCATAATGTCGATTGTTCATTATGGGTCAAAAAGTACTGGCTATGAACATCCTACAGGGATAGTCGATCGAATCATGCAAAAGAAAGGAAATCTCATTTATGAGGCACTAGTCGGCTCAGAAGATTGGTTACACCATGATGATCACCTGAAAGCAACTTCGAGAACCCCTGTGAAATACCTCATAGTATTCTATTAGACACTTTTGAAACCAAGCCACCGGAAACGGCCAACCCAGTCTCTGCGCGGACGAAGAGTGATACTATTTTCTAACTGCCTAGAAGGTAGACAGATCAAAAGTAAGGAACACGGATGCGAGCGGACCACAACGCTATGTCCCACTAATCTGCTCAAAAGAGAGGTTTTAACAGGCCACATATTGTATTAATATATGTTCCATGCAGGATAATGTTGAAGCACACTGATTTATTCATTTTTAGCCAATCGGGGTTAAAAGATGAACCAAAACTCAAGAATATTCTTGTGTATAAATTATAAATTTGCTAAGTTTTCACGCTGTGATCGCAACTTCCATTCAACTTTAAACCCGGAATCCGCTCTTTGAAATATCACAATAAGTCTTACCTTATTCTATAACGAATTTGTAATGACCATTTTACAAAACCACATCTGAACTGTCTACAGCTGTGACACTTCAGAATCGAAGTGACGAAAATGCTGCTTATCACTGACAGCGCTATTATTGCGTCCATTTTCTACAATGCTATCCTTTTTTGACAAATTAATTTTTAAGAATACATTAACATTCTCACGTGCATCGAATGAGTTGAAACGAACCAGATGTAGCAGGTAAACGTTGGTATGCATTTTTATTTCGTCTAAACTAAAAAGCTTTCTGAATAAACATGCGTAAACTATGCAGTAACTGCTTTTTTTAGATCATGGAATGAAGATAACTTTTTTCTCCAAGTTAAAATGTTGACGTTAAACTGTCACATCCATGTGAACATTGACAAATTTATGTAAAACATGTTTAGAAATTGTTTTCACATAAACCACTGTTTGAGTGAGAAGATAACTTGATTGTTTTAAGATATTAAAGACGAACTTCATAAGCCCACAAGCGGTAGTAAACTAGTTCGTTAGGTTTTGCAAAAAGTTGACTATTTGACATGTTAATATTGGAGGGAAGTAGACTATTCGATGTTAATTTTAGGCAAGAGCAAACAATTTGTAAAAATTAAGGATGTTTTATTTTGTGGAGCTGCAACTTGGAAAACATATACAACTATCATCAAAAAGGTACAGGTATTTATAGAGATATCTAACCAAGATTTACTGGCCAGAGACAGAGATAGACGAATATAATAGATCAAACCAACTTTCAGCTTAAGAGGAAATTGTTGCACTGATGCCTTGTCATTTACATAAAGCCTTAATCAATCAATAAATGATTATTTTGGTTAGTAGAAAACAGAATTTGAGTAAACTCAATTTAGACAATATTTTTATCAAACTTGCAAATGAAAGTTGAAAACCATTTAAATCTGACTAATTATTACATATTTACCGAGATAGTGCTTTATAAGTTAACCAATAATCATCCTGCAAACAAAAAAAACGCTTTTTAGATTCGATGTTCATGCTACTAAAGTATAGTGAATAAGGTAGAAACGATAAACATTTAATTCAATACACTCTTATTAGGGCTATAGAGAGAAGTGATCGACCTCTAAATTGTAAACTGAGGTCAGTTTGATAAGCAGGCAACTATGAGATTGTGTGAAATATCATCAAAACTGATAGGCAAGCTGAATGAAAAAATATTAGATAAGGTAATGATAGTAAACTAAAATGAACTTATTGAGTGGAGAAATACGGTATTTGTACTAATTGATGACTCCTTTATAGTTTATTCCGCTGCCAATTCGAATTCCAAACACAATGCGTTCAGTTATACTCATCGAGTTCCATCTGTCTTAAATGGCACTATTCTGACAATTTCTGCTTAGCAAATCATTTTGACTACTTATAATTATCAGTGTATTTATCTCAGGATAGTAGGGATTATAAATACCAGGACTATTCACATTAACATACAGGATTCTCGTCGGTTGCAATGTGAAAAATAAGTGATAATTCGGATACTCAGTCAGTCAATAACAACGTAGAACTTCGTACGTATGTACATCAGTTCGAGTTGCCATAACACATTAGCACAGAGATCTAGTTGTCGATTCAAATCCCGTAGTGGTAGAGGTAGTAAGAGTATAAGCAGTAATCAGAAACATTAGGGTCAGAAGAAAAATTGATTGGCAGTGCACATATTATGAGAATACAGAAGTGTAGGAATAATAGAGGAAGTGGAGATGATAATAAGCGAAATAGAAACAAGTTAATGATGAGATAATGACAAAAGTAGGCAAGTTACGAGACACGCACCAGACACAAATGGTTCAAGAAAGGATGGTAATCCATGGATGAGTACGTGTTTGCCAAGTCTTCTTTTGAAGACATTCACTGAGGGGGCTGTGGTTACTTCGGTTGGGAGAACACGCCGAATAGGGGCAACTCTTAATGAAAAAAAGAGCGTACCTGGGTTTTTGTTCTTTGATCTGCAATCTTTCGATGGTTGTCTCGAGGAACGTGATGGTGTTTGGGTAGGATGTACGTGACGGGGTAAATTCCAAGAATATTGTCGGTATCAAGCATGGACCACTGTCGAGTAGTCGACTGAATAGGACTCATTGATACACGTTAACTTCCTCGACTATGAGAAAGCATTTGACAGTATGGACAGGAGAACCTTGTGGAATCTTCAACAACACTATAAAGTACCTGAGATTGTCACCGTCATACGGAATTCCTACGACGGATTACACTGAAAAATGGTGCATAGAGGACAGCTCGCAGGTGCATTCCAAATGAAGACCGGTGTCAGACAAGGCTGCTTACACTCCCCTTTTCTCTTCTTTCTGATGCTTGACTGGCTTATGAAGACCTCCACATCTTACAGGAAGCATGGTATACAGTGAACACTTTCGATGCAACTGGACGATTTAGAATTCGTACATATCCTGACTCTTCTTTCTCATACACAGCAACAAGTTCAGATGAAAATATACAGTACAACAGCAGCCACTGCATCAGAATACCTCAACATACATGAAGAAAAATCCAGTATCCTAAAATTAAACACAACGAACATCAACAAATCACACTTGTTAGCGCAACTCTGGAAGAAATGGTAGCTTTTACGTACCTAGACAGTGCGACTGATAGACAAGGGAGATCTGATGTGGATGTAAAGACAAAGACTGGCAAAGTCAAAAGATTGCCCATACAATTGAAGAAAATCTGGAATTCAAAACAAGTGTCATCCAACATCAAAGTCAGAATTTTCAATACGAATATCAAGACAGTTCTACTGTATGGTACTGAAACTTGGAGAACAGTTACGACCAACATCAGAAAAGCACATGTATTTATAAAAACTTGTCTACTCAAGATACTTCAGATCTATTGTCCGGACACCATCAGAAATGACCTACTGTGGTGGGGAACAAAACTGCTTCTAGTTGCAGAACAAGTCAGGAAAAAATGCTGTACGTGGATAGAGCACACATAGCGGAAATTATCAAGCTGCATTACCAGGTAAGCCCTTACATGGAAACCTCAAGGCAAATGGACAAAACTTACAGCTGTTACCCCGCATGGAGGAGCATAGGAAACCCACCAGCATTCTACATCCAGCTCTGTCTTGTGCAATCCTTTCCAGATGCAATTCATCTTCTTTATATATGTTTCAAACTACTGACGGTGTTCTTTGGTCTTCCTCTTATCCGTTTCCCTACAGGATTCCATGTTAGCGTTTGCCTTGTGTTGCAGTTTGATGATTTCTTCAATGTGTCCCATCAACTTCCAGTGTCTTTTTCTAATTTACTCCTCAGATGGAAGCTGGTTTGTCCTCTCTCTCTCTCTCTCTCTCTCTCATGGTAGGATGTTGCTGATGGTATCGGACCAACGGACATTCAGTATACTATGTAGTCAACTGTACATAAATATTTATAGCTTTTCGATGGTTTTTGTAGTTCTCCAAGCTTTAGTTCCGTGCAGTAGAACTGTCATGACGTTTATACCAAAGATTCTCACTTTGATATTGGTTGACAGTTGTTCTGATTTCCATGTGTTATTCAATTGTAGGGATGCGGTCCTTGATTTGCCAATCCTCGACTTTACGTGTTCATTTGATCCTCCTTGTTCATTGGATAAGAGGTAGACCAAAAAATGAGTTGGAAATAGAAGGAATAAGTTAAAAGAAATAATAGCAGTCAGTGACCGAAAAGGAATAGGAAGGACAAGGTTGGTTGGAGAATAATGGTAGGTAGCTTTGTTCCATGAGGTGTAACAGGCACAAGTTACAAATCAAATCAAGCAATCAGAAAGGTCTTGTTCCAAGACACTTCACTTCGATGAAGAACAGAAGCAATTTTACCTTGGGCTAAGGAAGAGGTGAAGATTTGATGGATTGTCTGCTACATCCATACTGATTTGAGCATTTTCCACAGAATTTCTCTTAGGTTCCTCTTTATTCCTCCTTATTTGCTGTTCAGAGTGCGGAATGTCTTTAGTAAATTTTAAAGCGAAAACGGGCAATTAATACTAAGATTTTTATCGTTTATGTATGTATCGTGCAGTGCACGTTACCTGAGAAGTCTACCGAGTAATCTTTCAGAAGAAGTCTAAACAGTTATAAAACTCGAAAAAGGGATCGGGAGACTTTCGGGATACATGAAATCTGTGTAATCGATTTCAAACAAAATCTTTTTACCTGAGTAATTTCGTTAGTTCGAATTCGTGAATATATACCCCATAACGAGCGAAGATAATGGTCAACAGCAAGAACGCTGAAAATTCGGAAATTAGATGAAAGAGACTCACGGCTTCAATACATCATCCAGAAATTCATGATTCATTGCAACCCTGTGATATAACAAGTTAAAATCACATTGGATTGATTGAGCGCGACATAGTAATACTTTTGGTACGGGAGATGGTAAAAGTGTGCATGATAAAAGAGATGGGTTTCCGTCGACCACCTTAAGAATTCCTATAGACCGTCAAGCTATTTACGTAAGTATACCATTTGAGACCGCAAATTCAGATGCCACCTTGTGCATGTCTAACGACCTTAAGAATGAAATTCGCCGTCTAGGTCAAGTCACACCTCAAATGGTTGTTAACGGAATAGAAGAAGCTTTCACTTAACGGGCTTCCGTGTCTAGTAGCAGTGGATCACCGATTCCTCCAGGCAGGAACCTAGGCATATTGACGATAATAGAAGAAAAAGAAATTGGTGAATCATAGTAAGATACCATCATTAGTCCTTAAGAATATGTCAAGTTTTCTCTCGAAGGACTCCTGGGAAGTCGCTTGGACTAATTCAGCCGGCAGCGAATTTCAGCATTTGACCTCTCTTAAGGAGTGGAAGTTGTGTCTACAGTTCGTTCGGTTGTGATGTGTCTCCAGTTTCTGAGTGTTACCCCTTAGGTTTGTGTTGAGGCTAAATTTAAGTAAGTGTTTGAGGGGATGTCCGGAAGTGTTAAGGATGCTGCGAGCCATTAGAGGATCACCTATAAGACGCCTGTACTCTAATGAGTAAAGGTTTAGTGGCTGGAGACGCTCTTCATAAGGCTAGAGCTGTGAGTCACATGTGGATAAATTTGAACACTTCACTTCTATCTAAAGTTTGAGCTGATGGTGTTGTCAAAAAAGCGGTGAAAACTCCAAGATCGGATAACTTATCTCAAAGAACAAGACTCCAACGAAGTTCAGTTTCAATTCTCAATGCCATTTTGTAGTCGTATAGAAAGTTAGTAGACCTATATAGTATGAAGTTGTATTTTTTGTAATGATCCATTTCCTCCACGAGTGCTTTCACTGATCAAGATGATACTAGGTGTTCTGGTTTGGTGTTCCACCTGGAAATATACTCTCTATCAACCTAGGTCTCGCACTGATGGCGTGATCTGTGTCCATTTCATTTATCTGATGAGTTATGAGTGAGATGATGAGTTTGATGTTCCCGGTCACTTTTGGCGAGTTATTTTTTGGATGAAACTTCCTCGCACTAGTGTAAAATTCAATCATTTACCATGAATATTTATAATGTATATGCTTCTTAGTCACATTTTATCGCGATTACTCAGATTTTATCTTTGTAATTCTGAATCTACTTTACCTACATTATTCAATCAATGAAACAATAAGATAGATTCGTCTCTGAATCTGACACAATCCTCAAAGAAACTATATCTAATACTGCTGTGTCTTTATATGAATCACCTTATATTTTGAACTAACGTTGATAATACAGACAACACTGAACTATTATGACCTTCAACACACTTCTTATATTCATATCCTTGTATTTTCACACATATATGACCTTTTTGTGTAAATCTGTCACTCACTGTTTTATCTGACCTCCTTCATTTTTTCACACTACGTATTATCTGTTTTTGAACTATCTTAACTCCTGCGTTGAGTATCATAGGCGAATCAGCACGTTCACCTTCTTCACTTCGCTTTCCTGTTTGTAATTTTGGCGTCCATCTGAGATAAATTCCGTCTGTCCAATACAAGTTCACGGTTGTATTACCACTATCACTCAAACAGAGTTTACCTAGATTTAGTGTGGGAAATTATGTGGAAGATTTATGTTTGTGACGTATTCATTGATTCTTCCAAACTGAAGTTAGATCATGGGCTAATAATAAACTTGTAAAGTAGTAACTTTGCACTGGGTTGTTATAAAACTACGAAGTTAATGTTCACACTACGAAAATAAAACGAAATAACTAATCATCTCTTGAAGTAACTTAAGGGATATCACCGAAGGAACTGGGAATGAGTATATCAGAAATTCACCACATCTTATTTTCTGACCTCAAATACTTCGTGTACAAAACTGTAGTCATAAGCCTAGATTAAACTTGCTTAAACGAAAAAAATGTATATTGAACTCGAATTTTCTATTTACTTCTCATTGTCTCAAAACAGATGTCATTTTGTCCAGCGTTCAGTCTGACTTGATTTCTTCATTGTTGCAAGTGTTAGTGTATCAGTTGACCCAAATGTGCTTATAATGCTAAGTTTATTGAACGAAAACTAAATGACAACTGGTATGTAATAAATGTTACGCAGAAGTTCCCTTCTTGAGTAGCCACCACGGATCGAGTCCACTCAGTTTGTCAAGCATTTGGTCAAAATCCTTGAGCTGAGGATGTGAATTGAAACACAAGCTTGGAAGATGTTTGTTCTGTGATAAATTACACCAATAAAATTCAAGAGTATTTCATACTATTAAATGCTTTAAATGTGATAAAATTTGATACATTGAGTCAGTCTGTAATACTATTGTTTATTTTACTACAACTAACCCTAAACTTTGTAATCCCAACCTTATTAATTTGAGTGTTTCAAGTGAATCATACTCTGATCTGGTTCGTGATACCGTTTTACCAGATTACATTGTTCTCATAATTTATGTATTTCTAGTGAAATTATTTGTAAATGTGTGGAAGATAAACCGAGTGCATTAAATCCAGACCAAAATTACTATGTTATTTTGTCAGATGTGATCTGCCATAATTATTCATTTTTCTCTAGTGAAATCTCAGTTAACTGTGAGAATCATGTTCGAAATGAGTTAAATTCTGATTACGGTCCTTACGGAGTGGCATAAGATGTTGCTTATCCTCATAATGGGTTTACCTATAGTGATATCACTAATGAGTGGGACAAATATGTTCCGAATGAGTCGAATTCTAGTCATATTTAGGATGTTATTGTATCAGATGCTGGATATTCTCACGACCAGTATGTATATTAGAGTCCCTATACAGTGGTATAATGAATACAGAGTAAATAGCAGGTTTTCCCGGAGCAGTTAGAGAACCAATTTATCCAGATATGAAGTTTGCGTAGGCAGAAAATTCAAACCGACTCCAAAATTATCTTAATGAGTATGAAGGAGGTGCAAATTTTCTGTTAGAATGTTTTGCAGGTAAATGAAGCCTAGATGAATCACATATGTTAACTACACATATCAATACATTTTTATCTGATATCTGAAACAATGGCCTTGTTCATTCCAGCTTGAAATGCAAATGAATATGTATCACATTTTTATGCAGGTCAAAGTCGCATGATGAAATGCCTCAAATGATAAGTCAGTATGTATCCCTAAATACTCACATATAATATTTGAAGTGTGAGATATGCGAAGATAATACAAATCTGGAACGTCAAATTGATCATGACATTGCGACATACGGACCCTACACTATTTTGTGGGGTAGGATAATCTTAAAAGGTCTATGGTTCAAAATCTAGTTATCAGTGATTTCAGCACACAAGCGACGTGTTGACCATATACAATTCCCGGACCCAGGTGAGTTCATTCCAAATTCAGTTTTTAATTCTAATACTAATTAGTATACTCTGCATCATACAGAATCTACATCCAATACACAGTCGGAGATACACAGGACGAACATAAGGAGAAGTACGATTGATTGCAGAAATTCGAGATCTCATTTAAGTTGTGGCCGACATGGTGTTTGTATGAATTATTGATTCATTTGTACTTGATGACTGACTGATTTCAGATTTCAAATATGACACGTTCGTTTGTGCTCACCTAATTCTCTTGGGTCTAATTTGCGTAATTTCTGAGATTCCGAGTTTGTATAATGATTTAATTACTTCTAATCATCACAGTACAACTAAAATGTTACTGTAGAAAAAAATAACGAACAGAAAATCAATTTACATAAAAATGCAAATGAACAAACAACTTATACTGGGAAGAGAAGAATGTTGACTAGCAGTTGTATCCATAACACGCTATCCGTCCTATGGGATTAATCAGCTGGATGTGACTGTTTTCGAGAGTTGATTTTCTGTCTGCGACTAGGGTCTAGTACTATATGCTTCAAACGATATCGCATTGTCCACCTAGCTACTGAATCCAGACAGACACTGGTTTGCGCAACTGCATAAACTTGAATCCATCAGAAAAGTAGACGAAATGAAATCCATCATTTCTCGCTTGGAACGTGTATCAATTCTTGCGCATTGCCCTAACTGGCTGGTTTTGTATCTTTAGCCCTGATTTGCTGTCTTACATCTACTATCATCGTGAAAATGCTGTATAGGTTATTGACAAGTCGACAGAATGTAAGAAAACTCGCTTACAGTTTATCAGGTTGTGTCTTCGTAAACCTCGATAATCTCCGTTTCAACTATTTAGTCATTTGGAAAGACTTCTGACGATTTCAAAAACGCAGAACTCTCGAAAACATCCCATTCTTTACCCTTACATTAGTGTGTGAGATACTGTGTTCGTTGTTTACCAACTGACATTATCAAGGGTATATTGTGAGGAAGGCCCACTTGTGAACTCGAAAAAGCTCGGAAAAAGCCGAAGACATTCCATCCAATCGTCTTTTGGAGGAATATTTCAGAATACTTAGGTGTAGTTTCCCTGTTGGACAAATGCTAATAGCCCCCTGTATGCGAAGTGAAGGACCATAATGACGGTTTCGTTTTTACTAGACTATAAATACCTGAAGATAGCACAGGTATCCAGTGTTTGACAACGCTTTAACCAGTAACACCTAATATGAAGCGCTCCCACTAAAAAAAATCACAAGACAGAATCGAGGAGATAAGAAGATATATTTGATGTGATATCAATATATCGAAAATCGTCTGATCTAATCTGGCTAGCGATTGCAGTAGATGTTGAGCACGGCGTTCCCACACGTGATCTGGTGCAGATGCATGACTGAGCGCCTTCAGCTAGGTGAGTTCACTAAAACATGTGATCAGCATCCAATGTCGAAAACTTACAAAGCTATTTATTTTGGGTATTTATTTACCGCTACATACCTGACAGTTTTGAACTATAATTGACACTGTTTGGAATAGCATTCCTTTCACTTGTCTTCCCTTTTCACATTTGTGACTTGGTGGGTTCTAGCGCTCGAGTCGCTCATGTAATACGCGGTATGCTAGGAATCTAAATTCTAGATATAACATATATATGTTCAAAACTGTCAAACGAACCTCCAATATAACCTAATTCTTCATTAACGTATTTTGTTCTTACCTTCTGGAGATCGTATCCTACCACTGTATGGCTGTACTTATCAATTTTTCAAATTTGGGTAGATTCTATAAATTCATTAATATACTTGTTACTGAG